ATACAGTTTAGGGAAAATAGGGAGAAATTTAATGGTAAACTAAGGATTCAGAATAGTACACGTAATCGGTGAAAATGTGTCATGTATACTAATTTTGCCTGCATCATGTGTTGTATGTATGTATGTATGTATGTAATGTGAATCCTATCATTAGGAGGCTTCATTGGCTAATAACATTTATTTTTCGCGTAGTATATTTGTTCTAATTAAATGAGGATTAATGAATTCATGCGCAAGTTTGGAAACTTTAGATCCTTGTAAATCGTCTGGCTCACAAAAATCATCATCATCTTCATCGTCTTCACTATCCATTTGTTCACAGTCTTCGGAACTGCCATGTCTAAGTGCATCTTGACCTCCAGGATAGTTCATACCAGACTGAAGTCCTCTGTTTAATACAGGGAGGAAACCACCCGATATCATTGATTCAGGTTGCATATTACTATCTAGTAATTTTGGAATTAAACCAGATTTTTTATGTAAGGAGAGAGGTTTGCAGTCAAGTTGACAGTTGTCTTTTGAGTCAAGAATCCCCGAATTTGAATTTGTTGAATAATAACTGCTATTATTAGTATTTGCATTCATCATTTCAAAGTATTGATGAGATGAGTCCATATGACGTCGACTATGGTGTACAGGATCTGTAGTTGTTTGACGTGTTGTTTCATCATTCAATTCTTTTATTTGTTGACGTTCCTTTTTCAGTTTCATTCGTCTATTTTGGAACCAGATTTTAATTTGACGTTCAGTTAAGCAGAGGTTATGCGCTATTTCAATTCTTCTCCTACGTGTTAGATAATGACTATACTGGAATTCTTTCTCTAACTCTAATGTTTGATACCGACTGTAGGTTTGACGACCTCGACGACGTTGAACCGAATTTGGTCCTATGAAAGGAAAAAATGAAAATAAGAGTAAAGCAAACTTGATAAAAGCAAAAAACACATGTTATTAGTCTCGATGACCAAATGAATTTCTCGATATAGTTGCTGAATTTATCTGCATTCATGTCCCAATGTATATTACCCGCTTCCTAAAGGTATTGTACATAAACCAATATAAACCTTGAAAAAAGATATTCATTGAAAATGAATAATGGCAGTTTATTCTGTTATAAGCGATGACAAAGTGATGTTCCACACCACAACTACTCTACTTATGAATTCAGATAAGTTTTCAATGAGCTGAAAAGCTTAAGGTGTAAGTTTCATTCCTCAAATGTAGAATGAAACTAACCTTTCCAACAGATGGTTTAGCCACAGGTCAGTGATTTAGATGGGCAGTGTGTGAAACGTGTTCATAAAAAAAAAAGAATCAACATAATGTACCAGTTTTTATGATAACTATAAGGGAGGAAAAACATGTTCAGAATCACTGAAAAGTGTGTGCGGAATTATATATCAGCCGAAATGAGATCATAAGACTCCAATGTATTTAAAACGATATCATGAATCTATAGTCTACTTTTCAATTTCCTATTAGTCGTAGTAAATATTCTTTATTGTTTCTTATCCTACAGGAAATTGATCTACGACGCAGTCCGGCTAGTAAGCGACCTATTTTTGTTAAACATCTTCGACTACTTACTAACTTTTCAGTAGACTGAAGTCAACTAAAAATATTGTAACTAAGAAGTTCAAATAAACAGTCACACTTTTCATTTATATATGTAATTTTGGAGTACTGATGAATTTTTTCACGGGAAAACTAGTAAATTCACCTTGAGATATTTTGCTGTAAATTCCTGCTATAGTCAGCAGCATGGTTTTGAATAATAATTGTCAATCAGAATTAAATTCAGGGTAGATTATGCACCACTAGATAACTTATTTTAAACCGACAAGTTCACAGGTATACATTAAATGATTTACCTCAGCCAACTAAACTGTCACAGCTAAAACTGTCTATGCTAACCACTCAAACTGTCTTCGAACAGTCTGTTCCTTGGAAAATGAATCTTAATTCATCTAATATTTTCAGGTTTAAAAATCTTGTTGTTCCTAACAGTCATCCAAAGATCATATAAGTAATAATTTCTCGGACACTAAAATTATTCATTGAAAATCAAAATACATCTTCCAAAGACTTATATAACGTTCTGTGAGATAAGATTATAATCTCTAGTGTTATTCATACAACATGTACGTCGGTGGCACAGTGGTTAGGACTCTCGCCGATCATGCACATGGTCTGAGGTTCGATCCCCTGCCGACGAACACCTGATATCAATGGTCGGCCAGCAAAATTTGGGCTACCGATATCATATGCTGAAAATTCCATGCTTGTACCAAAATACAGTGTGGAATCAAGCTGTAATCAAAAATAAAAATAAATAAAAATGCCTAGTCTATTTTGTGAACATCGGCTATCAAGATAAATAAATTATGATATGTACAAATTTGTTAAATACTCAATCATACTCATAAAAAAGAATTTGGGGACCTAAAAATCCATCATTTATATTCGGAAGTCCCAAGTTTGAAAGAGCAGACACTGGGAACTTGTAGTAATTTGCTTATTCCATGTATACATCTTTTTCTTATCACACTATGACTTATTTTCCTTTCTGATAATGTGACTACTTTAAAATTTATAGTAGGCTGAATGTTTTCAACACATTATTCAGTCAGCAGTTTTCTTCCACTTCGTAATTCGACGCACCTCTATATTAGAAGTTAATAATATTACTCTTATCATTCTCACTGAAATGGGAAGTCAGTCTAAATACTGCTCATCGAAATGTGTTTTGCTCACTTAATATAAGTTACTGTGATTTCTGCTATATTGCCAAAAAGCTTTCTGCTTACATTTGTAAATGTAATATTTATATAGAGAATAATTTAATAAAAAGATACCTAAGTATAATTTACTACGATTTCAAGCAAAGATTAGTGGACTGGTTGCATTTTTTCGGTGGGTGGGTCATGAACATACACCTTCCAACTACGCTAAATATATTCTATGCAAAACATCCTTTTCCCCTAAATATTCTGAAGGCAGCTTCGAGTATTCCCCTTGGTGGTGATGGTGCACATATACTACTTGTTAGAAAAACCATTCCATTTCTAACCAAACGATAACACACATGCTACCTATATCATACTCAATCAGTTAGCGACTACCATCTCTAAGTACGGTAGGTTCTTTGTACTGTCTAAGTACAAGGAAGTACTAAAAGATTGATATGAACTTGCACTCACACTCAAACTAGGGATTAACCATGAAAATTAGTAGTCAGAAAGTTCGTACATGTAGTCTGTTATATGAGGGTTGACAGATACGTGACAGATGACATTTCTAGTCGCATACCGAACTCTATGGTGGTGTATTCGGACCCTGATCACCTCTGTAACCGTAGCAGTATTAGTCTGGTTTTCGAAGGTCAAGACTACAGTATTTCGACATTTGCACTCCCGCTCCATGTCGCTGGAACCTGACTTCTTCGGAGTTACGATGTGCAGTGACTCAGTGTTTGATAACTGATGCTTTCTTAAAACTGTCTACAGTGTTACCGTATAAGTACTTTTGAGATTTGACAAAGTGCTTTAAAATTCTGAACTAGTTGACACCCCCATGGAATCTCAGCTTCGGTGATTTGGGTATGTGCTACGAATGTCATTTCAGGGATTTAGATACTGCTCACTATTTGTCAGTCGTTTGACCATCAGGAAAAAGCTGAGAGATAGTTGGCTCATGAAATGAAGGGTAGTTGTTTCAGCCCATTGGTTTAAAAATTTCTTGTATGTAGCTTAGAGTAGAAATTAATGACATGCATGCCGCAAAATTCTCCACTTCTCTTCTTTCTAAAACTGTTCCGAGGTGATGACCTCTCCTTTAAACACTTTTGGTCGACACGCTTATTTATTTTTATTCTATTATTCTCCAACTACTTAATTTTTTTCTCCTATATTGTTGTCCTTTTCATTTTACGTTATACATCCCCTGGTGTATCAAATTTGTATTTTTTTTTATTGTAGCTTGTTTCCACACTGTATTTATGATACAAGTATGAAATTTTCAGCACGTGATATCGGTAGCCCAAATTTTGCAGGCCGACCATAGATATCAGGTGTGCGTCGGCAGGGGATCAAACCTCAGACTATGTGCATGGTCGGCGAGAGTCCTAACCACTATGCCACGGACGCCCGATAATGATAACTTCTGACGTTCTTATTGCATATGAATATTGGTTAAAAAGTATCCTTATGACCAAAGGATATAAGTGTTTTAGGTGTTAACCGATTTTCGGTCGCTCACTAATAGATAGTAATACATAAGTAGAAAACTGCCGTAAAATAAATTAGGTATTCTTACAAAATGATACAATGAAATCAACGTGGCCAAACATGATAAAATAGTTTTAGAAGATAAATAAATTCATTTGTAAGATTTGTGAGTAACTACATTATTTCACCAGAGTAATTTTCATCAGCACATCAGGGTTGCCAGCTGAATAACAGGTGATAGACATTAATCTCTTGCAATACTGTATGACATTTGCACCGCATCAAGAGCCATAAAAAGTTAAGTATTGAGAGTAAATAAACTTTACAGAAGTCACCATGTGATTATGCAATAGGTGAGAGATATAAAATTTTTAGTCGCATACCCTCACAAGTATTGGAGATACACACTACTGATGAAAAGCCAAAAGCTAGAAAAGAGCATCCATAATTTACTTCCTTATTTTACTTTAAGTGATTACAGTTTAATTCAAACTCCTGTTGTGAGACTCCAAAATAACCGTTTCAAAAAATATTTATCAATTTAACTACAGTGACAGTATATATAAAACGGGGATGTGCGGATTTTATGGCTATCGATTTTCGTATACAGATAGTGTCAAAAAGGTGTTTTGTTTGCAAGGCAAAATTGTCTCCTTACAAGTGTTTCGAAAACCAAAAATACTGGTTATACTTTCGAACAGTAACTAAATAATAATAAATCTTCATGGGCTACCTTGAGCAGACACAACTAAGTTCTGCTATCAATGGAACGACCTACTATCGCCGATATGTTGATGACACATTTGTTGTTTGCAACGATATGGATCACGCATCGGCACTATATGATCGCCTAAATGAGATACATCCAAATATCAAATTCACCATGGAATATGAACATAATAATGAGTTCAATTTCCTGGATCTAAATGTAAAAAGAACAAACGAAGGCACGGTCGAAAAGTCCATCTATAGAAAAGAAACCTGGACTGGACAATATCTTCACTATAACAGCTTTTGTCCCATAAGCTATAAACGTGGATTAGTGAGGACTTTGTATGACAGAGCCAGGAAGCTATGTTCACCAAACAGGGTCGAAGAAGAATTAGTTTTCGTCGAGAAATGCCTAAGGGAAAATGGATACCCTAAGGGATTTATTCAGAAGTACAGCAGAGAAAAAGATGAGAAAGAAAAGCATCCAACTGTAGAAAAGAAAAAAGTGTTTATCTGTCTACCATACAAAGGAGATGCAGTGTCACAAAAGATTGAAAGGTGCAATAAATAGAAGCTTCCCGGCAGCAAAACTCATAACAGTATACAGCACCACTCCTTCTTTAATCCACTCAAAACTGGATAAATACCCTGCTGATGTCACCTCCAACTGCGTTTATGAATTCACGTGCACTTGCGGGAGCAAGTACATTGGAAGGACAGAAAGAAGGGCTTCTATCCGGTTTTCTGAACATATTCCCAAAAACCTGTGCCTGAAAGGAAGCAGATATTCCCAGAGTGCAATTACCAGACACATTATTGATACCGGACATCTCGTAGAGATTTCTAAGTCCTTCAAAATATTAAATAGACAAAGGACAGCAAATTTACTACGATTTGCCGAAGCAATCGCAATCAAACGACTTAAACCAGACTTATGCATACAGAAAGAGAGTGTGATTAACCTCTCACTCCCTTGGTAACAGAATTTTGATTTTGATTAGTCATCTAATTCAGTGATCTCAACTCACTGAACAAATCTTAATCTCATAAACTGTAACCGCTTTTGTTTCTTGAGTTGCTATGTGAACCTACAAGCTAACACTGTTCTGTTAATCAATTTTTTCTGTTTTCTGTCTTACCCCTCCCCCTCTTTTCAACTTTAAAAGCGTATAAATTGATGATGAAAACTTAAACTAAAAACATTGTAATGCTTTCATTTAGATGCGTCAATTTTATAGTATCTCTTCTCTACCACCACTCAAACATTAAAGTATGTTATTATCATCTATATAACCATTGTAATTTCAGGTAGTCTGCAGCTGATGAGAACCTGTGAAATAGAATGATATCATTTTATACTGCAAATTTCGTCTTCCTTTCTCTATCGAAATTTATCAAGGGAACCAAATGTATGAAATAATAAACAGGTTAACCATTAAGATTTGATGACATTAATTTATCATTATTATTAAGTAGTCAGTAAAACAAAACCGACTTGGTTTCCAACACTATTGTCAAGTCGGTCAGTTCTTCTATACGGGTCAGAAACTTGCAGTGCGTGTCAGTCATGAAAAGGATTTCCAACAGGTTACGGAACTTCATCAACAGCCGCCTTTGCCCATACTGAAGATCAAGTGACCAGAAAGAATAAGTAACAAGAAACTATGAGAACAAACCAATCAAGAGCCTATCGCTAAGCGAATATACAGGAGAAAATGGAGATGGATTGGGAATAAATTGTGGAGACCTTCGAATAACATCACGCACCAGGCCCTCGAGTGGATTCCAAACGGAAAGCAACGAGTGGGTAGTCGGTGCGAGGGCGATATGGAGGAGATCATGTGCAGAGGAGGAGATGAGAGGGTTTGGTCCTAGCTGAAGAGGATGGCAGAAGATAGGAAAAGGTGATGTGTTATTGAAGCCACATGTCCCACTCGGAACCCAAGGGAACAATAATAATAATAATAAAACAATCTTAGTCAATCTTGATTATTTGGGAAAATTTATTAGTATCTGTATGGATCTCTTTAATATGTTTTCCCAGACTGTGAAAGTTGATAGGTCTAAAAGTATTTTTCTACGCAATCAGAGAAACACTAGAAACTAAGAACTCCTAAAAAGGACTGTCGTACCATTTTCTGACTCAGCAGACTTCAGCCATGGTCTAGTTAAACATTGAACCAAGGATCATTACGTTCCAAAGTTGGCATACTGTCATTCAGGTTTTCGCTTTTCAATAAGCTTCTGAGTAATGCTGATGGAACAGTATAATTTACTGGGTGGCATTTCGAACACAGTTTCTTGTTCACGATCACACCTACTATAACTGCATGACATCTAGATTAGCTGACCCTTATAAGATAAGGAACTTATAAAAATATCGACTACAGCATTACATGCAATTACATGCAGCCGCACAATAGGATGGGACTGAGTTACAGCATTAAAATCAAATGTAATAAAGTGAAGAGAAGGACTGGTAACCAAAGCTTAATGTATCAAGTTGACTGAAAATACGTGCAGTTGAAACAATTCAACCCATCCCAGACATCTGGAAAATTCTACTACCCCTATGATGTAAATGGGAGAGAAGGAGTAACAACAGGTATAATTAGGAACAATAAATTGTGTTCGAAAGTTTGTAGTCGAGTAAATAATCCTGCTTCACCGCATGATTTGTTCAATAAACAAACTCATATGAGAATTTCCTGAAATATTCTTCTAGTGCTTCTGTGGCACAGTGGTTAGGACTCTCGCCGATCATGCACATGGTCCGAGGTTTGATCCCCTGCCGATGCACACCTGATATCAATGGTCGGCCAGCAAAATTTGGGCTACCGATATCACATACTGAAAACTCCATACTTGTACCAAAAATACAGTGTGGAATCAAGTTGTAATCAAAAAAATAAAAAATAAACAATATATAATCCTCATGTGTTCTCTTGCAGGGATTTTAACTGAATAACTGATTTCCAATCAATCAAACCCTTGCAAACCAAAACTTGAAAGTTACTCCAATGCTCATTAGTAATTGACTAAAGGATGGAGTTGTGTAAAGTTCTAGTAACAATTGGTGAGCATCTATGACTATTAAGTTACGTGTGAGGGCTAATACTCACCGATGATACTGGCTGGCGGTTGCATTTATTTTTTATTTTTTTTTTGTTTTTTATTTTGATTTACAGCTTGATTCCACACTGTATTTTTGGTACAAGTATGGAATTTTCAGCATGGATATCGGTAGCCCAAATTTTGCAGGCCGACCATAGATATCAGGTGTGCGCCGGCGTGGGCTCGAACCCCGGACCATGTGCATGATCAGCGAGAGTCCTAACCACTGTGCCACCGACGCATTATATGTTGCAAATTGATGGAAGTTAGAATTCATGAACCATCATACTTCATTCCAATGGCTGAATAGTTAACAATCTCGCCCTGTGACCTGAAGGTCTTGCACTCGACCTTCAATAGTGTCTTGGGGGCTTACTGTCGAAGAGGCACAAAATAGGTCGAAACAACTGTCCAATACTCTCCAGATTTCGATAGTTCTCAAACTAAAGTTAGTTAACAATGAGATTATACTCTCAGAAAGCCATTTCATGTTGAAGGCGCACTACAAATTGAATGGTGACTATGGATCTTTGGAAAAGTTTCTCAAATGTAAACGTTTCCAACCAACTTTAAACTGGAACCTTATAGCTGTTCCCTTACTAATCTTCGAGTTTAAGGATTTACTAAGTGAACAACTGCCCATTATTAAATTGTTGTTTTCTGCATAAATCACACAGATGAAGCGTAAATATTATAGCGTCTAAAAATAGTCCTAATATTACTAATAATAATAATAATCACAGTAATAATTCAGTTAAGGAATTAACTCTGTAACCAGTATAATCAATAATATTTCGCTTTTATTAGAGAAGTAAAGAATCGCTTCAAGCTAATAATGTGTCTCCTATTCAGAGAATGAATTTATCTGTCCATTAAGTAGTTTGTATTCTAATCATTTCTTGATTTATTACTGACAGTCAGTTGGTCTCTGTATGTGCTTTAAAAAACACTAATGCAACTCAAACTATTTAACACTTTCAATGTTCAATAGACTTTAGGTTAACCCTCTATCTACTTATCTTAGTAATCTAATCACAGAAAGACAGAATCAGCCATTTAGAAAGGTATTGAATTCGTTTTTTTTATATAAATTTTTCACAGACATATAATCTCTAAGTCTTGATCCCAAACTAACTGTTATTTCTTTTGCTTTAACAGAAATCTGGGTGGAAAAAAAACTTACGCATTAACTTCACATTGTTCTTCTCTCTCTCTCTCGAACTAACCAACATGAGATAATCGCCCATACACAAGTTATGCAACGCATTTAAATGACCCACTAGGCTGGGAGTAGTTATTCTTCCCCCGATTAACACATATTAAATTGTTTTTATTTTTGTCTAACTAACTTAAATTACTCTGTCATCTGTTTAGTTACCATAACAACCACACTATGATTTTAAAAAATTCCTTTATCTTCCATGTCCCCAATAACTTTTCTATTTTTTAGTCTACAAGTTTTGTGTTAGTTACTAGAACTAAATACCTCGGAATCTAGGTTGATTTGATTTCAGCAGTGAATCTTTCATCTTGATGACTTGCTTGATATTGTTATTATTTTAATGGAATTATCTATACTTGAATTTCATGCGTGGTTAAAAACAAAAATGTGCGAAGACAATTTCAAATGAATGGAAAGTATTCACAAAATCATTTTATTCCTGGACAAAGAAACTTTATTAATGCACATTTCTGAAGCGAAAATTTTATCCTCTGTTTTTTTTTTCAGGGATGAGGGGTTGAAGAAATATAAATAACAATGGATTCATAATGATTGTTGGTAAGTTGTATCAAGAGAGGTGGAGGGGGAGAATAAAGTCAATCAGGTGTAATATACACCGCTATTCATATCAGATCATTTTGTGATAACTGTGTTGACTAAGATAGTAAATTGCTTGTTTTGTGAAGAAGGATACCTTCTGAAGGATTTTTTTAGAAATTCCTTTACGCTCCCAGCAGAACATAGGGCTTCAAGCTACAAGCTTGAAGTTTCGGTAGCAGTGGTAATCATTTTTATGGGATGGGGTTGCTAGCCTCACGCCCAACCTTCCCTCTTTACCAGTCTTATTACCGGCCTAGCGAGGTAAAAAGTGCGCCGACCAGGGGTAGTACCCCAAACCACCTGAGTGGTTGATGAGCATTCTACCGCTGTACCACCTTCGCACTCTCTGAAGGTTAGTTATGAAAAAAATATCTATACGAAGTCTAAAAGTCAATTCTAGGAAAAATACACACATTCTCCTTCTCCATCTACCGATAATAAAATTGAAGCACTTTTGTTAGAATATAAACTTCTCTTTCAGCAGTAGTAATAGTAGAGCAGTACTCACACCGCTTAAGAAGAATAAAATCGGTGTCATGTGTACTTCTGGTTAATATTTTTCTCTAGTTATTGAGCCAGTTTATAGGTTAATCCAAAATCATTACTCTCATATAAAAACAGATATTTTATAAAAAGTATAAACAGCGCACTGAAATCTAACACAGTCTTAAACAAAATGAATTCGATAACCAAATGGTTACAACACACAG